ATATATATATATTATCTGACTAATTTAGAAAATCATTTTTCAAATGGGCCTAACAGTGAAAGCAACAGAGGAACTGAAGCAAAGAATGGGGAAGGTTTCGGCCATTAAAACACTTTAGGAGGTTTTGGCCATTAAGTTAGCTGTGGAAGATGAAAATTTATAGTTTTAAAATCAAAGTTTATGAAAGTTTGAAAAAAAAATTAAATAATTAAAGAACTAAAAAACATATTTAATCAATTAAAAAGTCATTTTGGTTACTATTAGATGAATAATAAAATTAAAACACATTTAAAAAATATAATTTAAAATAATTTAAAATAAATCTTTTTACTGAGATTTGAATTTTGGAAGAGATCAATATTTTATTATCGATGGTTTTGGAAGTCTACCTTCACGATCAAATACTCACCTATACAGCTATTTAAATAATTTTAAATTAAAGATACAATACTTAAAGAAAGTCAAAAGAAATATTGGCCAAATAAACATTCAAACTATAAATATGACTTGATTGTCCTTAGATTACTTATAAATGGACAACAAATTCATGTGCATATATAAATGGACAACAAATTCATGTGCATATATATTCAAACTTGTGTCATTGTCCATAAAATGCTTGAGAATGAACAAACTAACTCATGTATAACTATTTCTAAGTTTGTATCCAAACTAATAAAAAACAATTTTTACTATCCAAAACAATTGACAATAAGCTAATAGTGTATCAAAAACTGATTCAATAAAATAACAATTTAAATTTTTATTCTGAAATTCTTGAATATCATTATGGTATATTATTTGTTTGTCGTATTTTTCATTTTAAATTGAGAATTTCTGCACTAGATGTGAAGAAATTATACGTTTTTTTGTTTTCTTTTTCAAATAATTATTATAAGTGATATTACGTTTTTTTTACAGGAGTTTTGGTGTTTGAAATGCAAAATTCATTAAAAAAAACTTAGTGGATTTAACTACAAAAGAAAAGAAAAAGGAAGGGTCCAAAAGAAAATAAAATTGTATAGTTCAACATAAATTTGTTTGATAAGTTGATTGACATTCAATCTTTTCTTAGATTCATGTTGTTTATTAAATTAATTATTTTTGGTAGTCCTATTTATTCTAACTTTATGGTTTTGTGTCTTTTAAAATTCTTAAAGTTTTGTCTAAATTCTCTTTATTTATGGCCTCTTGAGTTAAAATTTGGATTTGGTAACATTTTTCATATTCATTGTTAATTTTGGTTTAAGGTAATGAAGTTTGTTATCAGAGTATATTGAGAAAAAAACCTACAAATGTAATAAATGAGTGGATTAGAGTGAAACACTTTTCTAAAGTGAAACACTTTGAAAAAGTGGCGAGCTCTTAAATTTTTTTATTATTTTGTTTTCTATTGTTTATTACAGGATTGACATTTAGAGTAATGCAATATGTTTTCGCAGAGGTATCCTTCTAGAAATGGTTTAACTTTTGATTTAACTTATCATACTCCTCATTGAGATCATTTCATTATTTGAAAGTACCATGAGTGTGTCACGAAAAGATACACTTAGTGTTTGTGTGACCTTGTTGTAGGATGTCAATGAAATCGTGTCACACATAATACATATCTAAATGGAAAAATATGTGAGCTAAAAAGAAGGCACAAACATAATAGAAAATCATTGTGAACGGATAGGACAATTATTCTAAGGTGCACTAAATGTGAATGTTATGGTCATGAAACTTATAAGTGTCCAAATTGGAATGCAACTTCCATAACCAATCAAGACGTAAGAACCACATTCTACACTTGAAAGAGGAGGAAAAAAAACTTTGTAAAAGTTAGATATGTTGAAAAGAAGACAAGAGGGGAAACCAATGATAGTACAAGAAAATGAAGCACCTATAGAAAAGGAAACAAAGGAATAAGAGAAAGAGAAGACAAAGAAAAGCAAGAGAAAGAAAAGAAAGAGAAGAGAGAGAAATAAGAGAAAGAAAAGGAAGAAAAGGAAGTAAAAGAAAGAGAGTAGAACAAAAAGAGAGAAAAGGAAAAATAAAGAAAAGAACATCCCAATTTTTCATTCAAAAGAATTACTAATTCATCTCATTTTGTTTTGTTGATTACACGATCTTATCCAAGAAAGATTACGATTGTTTCTAACTTTGAATTCCTTAATTAAACATGAAAATTAAATGCATGACTCACATTAGATAGAAATGATAAATGTCATAATCTAGGAGATTGATAAGCTAATGAACATTTGTTAGAGAGAGGTTAGTCTTTGATAAGAACCGATAATGGAGACGTCAATATCAAGAAGATTGATAAATTAAGAAAGATTTGTCACAAAAATGTGAATCTTTGATAAGAACTTGATGGCCTAATCCCTAAACAAAGACAACCCTCTCATTAATAAAATCAATTTTAATATATGACTAAAAAGTATTTACACAAGTTTTTTGTACCTATATATATATATATATATATATATATATATATATATATATATATATATATATATATATATATATATCCATAAGTTTAAGAAAAAGAAAGCCCAAGTCCAAAAGCATAAAAACATAAAGGCATAAAAACCTAAACTAATTTCTAAAAGAAAATCGAAAGCTCAAAAATATAGAAACATAAACTAATTTTCATGAGAACAATTCTTCAAGTATTCTCTAAACCATGATTTTCATGCTTTCATGTCCATTGAAGGCCATAGGCTCCTCCTCTAGTTCTTCTTGTATGGAGTCATGAGATAGTTCTATATTATATCCTCTTTCTTGAAACGAAGTTGTCCTTAACTTTGTACCTTGATTTCTTTATTCTTAACAACATAAGGAAATTGTTCACTAAATTCTATCATTTGAAGATTCCTTCCTTTTATGTTTGGTAAGGTTAGAAGTTACTCACTCCTTCCTAAATTTCTCCTTATCCTTTCATGAGGTGAATGATTTCTTGACTAACTCTGTGCAAATGATTTTTGGAGTAACTCCCTCTTTCTTATATTTTTTCTTAATTTTGTTCTTCTTGAAAAAAAAATCCAACCACGAATTTTGAAAGATTATATGCACAAATCAAAAACATAATTTAAAAATATCAAAAATAGAAATTTTACTAAAATGTGATTTGGATCCTAGAAGAAGCCATATCTTATTATCAAAGATTTTGGAGGCCTGCCTCTAGGGTCAAATACCCACATGCACAAATCATAAAGCAGTTTTAAATTAAAGATGTAATGCTAAAAAAGATTAATAGAATATTTCTCAAATAAACACTCAAAATATAAGTACAACTTTGATTGTACTTACACTTTTTGGAGATGGACAAGCAAGCTAATTCATGTGCATGTATTTACAAACTTACATTCTTACACATAGGTTGGTTTAGAATGGACAAACAAACTAACTTATATACAACTATTTCGAAGTTTATGTCGAAACTAAAAAATTTGTTTTGACTATACAAAGTAATTAACAAACAATCTAATAGAGTATCAAACACATATTAATTGAATTCAAAGCTTGTGTTTTCCTTTTCTATCATTCTTTCGTCCTTTCATTGTTGTTGTCAGTGTTTTTTAATGAATAAATCTTTCTTTGATAATATCATTTATTCTTCTCTCCATTCTTGATGCCACTCTTTTCTTTCTTTTCCTTTTCTCTCTTTTTGTTATCCTCTCTTTCTTTTACTTCCTTTTCTCTCTTTTCTTTTCTCTTATTTTTATCTCTTCCTCTTCTCTTTCTTTCTTTCTCTTCTTTCTCTTCTTTCTCTCTTATTTCTTTTGTTTCCTTTTCAACAAGTGTTTTCTTTTCTTATACTCTTTTTAGCTTCCACTCTTGTCTTCTTTTCAATAATTAGAATATAATTATAGGATTACCATGTTAAGGAAAATTTGAAGGTCATTGGACCACAATTTGATCAATATTAAGGTAAAAGTTCATTGAAGGGTCTATAAATATGGTATGTGGCTAAGGATTTTAATAATTTAGAATATGTTCCATTTGTTATATCTTGCCTTAATTAAACATTAACTGAAGAGTTGAAGTATTTTTAACAAGTAACTAACGGGATAAAACCGATTGCACAAGTAAAATAACTTGACAAAACCGATTACACCAACATCCATGTTTGCATTCCACCAAAGAGCGTTCTCCTATGGAGAAATGGTCTGCCTGTCCAATTGTGACATCGATGCACTATCCCTTGTATTGGAATGATGGTCGGTTATCTTCTAAAGCTAAAGACCATTTTTCATTGAAATACGAACTTAAAATTGACAAAGACATGTCATTTGCATACTCATTAACTTTTCTACCGGAAAACTCCTCAAACGATGAGATAACAATTACTCTTACCATCATTACCTTATTATAAATCTTATCATGCAGAGTTTTTTTAATAATAAATGCATATATATATAATTCAAATCAACCAGCGTTGAGTAACACAATACATGCATAAATTAACGGGGAGCAAAAGGGTAAATCATGGAATCTGACAGAGTAAGCGGCAAAATTAATGTCGTTTGTGAAGATGTCACGTGCAATATGGGACAGTCAGAAATTGACATGGCAGTAGGTGGATACAAACACAGTCCCTACTGGAGTTTCTCCTTTGGAACTCAAAGGGACCTCAAGCTCACATTTCGCCTTCGCCTTCGTGCTAGAACTTGCCGAGTCATTAAGCATGAACTTAACCTTAAAGTGGAGTCTCACAGAGAAATGAAAAACCCTCTTTTTCTCATCTTCTTCCAAGCTCTTCACCTGATCCTGATCCAACACCGTCTTGTATTGCCCCCTGTAAACGCCGTTCAGTCGGTTCGTGCTCTGCCTGCGTTGCCGGAACGAGTCACGCAACGTCAACAACTCCGTCGACGCGAACGTGACGCCGTTGTACGACACGTGGCTCTCCACGCTCTCGTAGTAGAAGTCCAGCTTCTTGTTGGGATTCCCTGCCGTGAAGTTGAGGACGAGGTTGTAACGGAGCGTGTTGTCGCTGGAGGTGTAGTTGAACTGCGTGAGCGTGGCGTCGGAGACGTGCAGCTTAAAGACGCGTGGCTGGAGCACGGCGTAGAAGATGATGAATACGATGACGAGGAAGATTATGAGTGCGAGGAGAATCTTCCAGCAGATGCTGAAGAGACAGCAACAGCAATTTCTGTGACGGCGGGGACGTGGCGCCTCCGCCGGAGGAATCGTGGGGCCGTAATACGCACCGTTTAGTTGGGGTTGCTTATCTGCCATGCTGGAATGATAGGGGATGAAGAATATGAAGTGCTCTTTTTGTGATAGAAGAAAAGTACACGTGTGTATAAATATAGACACAGGATGAAGGGCTTGGTTATTTTTTCTTTTCTTTTCGTTATTTTGTTTGTTTAAATTGTTGTACGGTGGGTGTAACTGAGAAGAGGGTGCAATTAATTGCCCGAAAATCACAATGCGTTTGAAAACTCTGCTAAGACGCGTTTGGGTAGGGACATTTAATCACTATCATCTGAATAAGATTTTTGTCCTTGCTACATGTTGATGAGGATCCAAGTGGATAATGAAGTTTCATGGTCAAGTTGAAGGCAAGTGGCTTTGAAGGTTGGGGGTTGGGTTGACTTTTACTATTAAGTGAATCTATCCGATATTTTAACACACAATATGTGTTATTATTTTTATTGCTACGTGTATTTGAAAGGAACCAATCACAAACTTATCACATGAGTTCTTGTCAAAAAATTGTTAAAAGAACATTTTCTTAAGAGAATTATTATTTTTTTAAATGCATATATATATATATATATATATATATATATATATT